GGGCGTACTCATTTGTTGCTTGCCTTAGTCATTTGACCATTGACCACGCGTCCCTTTCGAGACGCAGCAGGGGAGGGGGGGGGGGAGTACTCATAGCCGTGCATGTCGTAATCATTAAACCATTGACCTCGCATCCCTACAAAGCCGAAACGGACTACGCCGGGTTTTCACCGGACCAGGCTATCACATCACCAAGCGCGAAGCGCCGCGAGATTTTCGGCGAGTTGCATGGGGGGGGGGGGAGGGGAAAGGGATGAGGACTACCCTGTAGCGTCAGACCGGTGGCAATGCCGATCTCGCAAGGAAGGTACATGTCGGGGAGAAGGACAGCTTGATGCCCTTGGGTCTTCCAAACAGGAGACTTTTGCACTAAACTCGAACCGATGGGTCAAACAAGAAGAGAGAGCGAGAAATACTCGGTAATCGCCCATCCAGGCAAGTGATGTGTGCTGCTGCAATGCCTCTCGTTTGAGGTGGTTTGGCAACGTTTTATCACGAGGCGATCGTAGCCTGATAGTCTCAATTGAATTCGACAAGGGACGCACCAGGAGACACAGCTTCATGGTAGCTGTTCTAAGGGAAATGGGCAATAGGCACATTTTGTAGTCCGCGGGCTCCCGCGACAGGGGGGCCGCAGAGGAGATACAACTGTCTCTGGATTCGAACCACTTGTGAACGTGAGTGTGTGCTTTGATCGATCGCATCAGCCGGCTGACCAATGAAAGGATGCCTGGTAGTCTCTTAGCGAGACGAAGAATGCTAGGATGCTTTCTAGTGGGTGTGATTGTGAAATGTCTTGCTGTCTTCTTGCTTCTTGTCCACGTGTCTGTCGATGCCTATCTTGGACTTATCTTTTTTTTTTTTTTTACGCTTGTCCATATCCCCCAAACATGCTTTCTGTGCTCGCCCGCACGTCTGCACGCCTATCCGCCAACCCCCGCTCTCACTATCAAGACATAAAGACCCACCCGTCCTGTCTCCGTAACTTGCTGCTGTCCTGTTGCGAAACGACCCCGCACGTGTACACGCGGCGCGCCAACCTTCCGCCAGGCGCTAGACAACGCCGCGTTAGAGTTCGAGCGAGATTACCTGCCGGATCTGCAGCGAAGGATCAAGGAGGCAAAGGCTAGACAAGAGGCGGCGAAGCAGGCAAGCCTCCCCCACCCTCCCAAGGTCGACACGCGGTTTTTGTGTTGTCTGTCGGCTTCATCGTCGGCTGGTGCCTGTGTACAACGAACGGTTTCATGTTTCGACCATCTCTTCTTTTGCACTGCCATAATTTGAAGTTGTTGCATGCATACCACGGAGGATTGCTGTGCCCCGTCCGTTTGACCGACACCTTGTGTGTATTGCACTGCCGCGTGTATCCTTAACAAAACATCCGATCGCTGTCAAAGGTCGAGGGGTGCCCCGCCCCTACCCCAGCACCGTTTCGGGGTTGCGGGTCGCGAGGAGGGGCATGTTGACTCGCGCAAATCACTGTTTACGTTTGCGTGTGTCGTTCGTTTACATACCAGCAGACAGGCACACGCTTTAGTTGCTCTGTTCAGTGCAGAGCACCCGTAGGAATTTTGGCTCATGTGGGTTTACAGGTCTGCCGGTCTTCGTTTTGTTGCGCCCCCGTTATTCCAGCGCTCGATGGAGAAGCTCATGACTGACATCGCTATCACCTCGGGAGATAACGATTCGGCAGCACCGGGGACGAAGGGGGCTGCTGGGGGCGCGGCTGTGGCGGGGACGGGGGGACGGACGGCAACGGGGGCGGGCGTCGGACGAATTACAAGAGTTGGGGTTCCGATCGGATCGGAGGGCTCATCAGGGACATCGGGCGACGGGACGGAGGGAGGGGCTGGCGCAGGTCAGAAAGAACAAGATGTTGTTGGATTGCAAGCATTCATTTTCATGGTTGCTTGCGGAAGCGGCGGTGGTGATGGCGGTCATTGTACACCATCTCTCGTTAACATAACGCGTCATATCTACTTCCCGTTCCTGGTATATCCCGCCGTTCCGTCGTTGTGTGTTGGTGCAGGCCCCCCCGCGCGACCTGTTGGTGCGGACATCGAAGCGCATGATGTCTGAATCGGGGGATGGCTTTGCCCGACAAGACAAGATGGAGCCGTGTCCCAGGAAGATGCCGCTCGGCCTGACCTTGGCTTGAGGCATGGACTGGGAATGAAGAAAAACCTTGCGTGTTGTCAGCCTTGCCGTGCTGTGTTAGGCCAGCATGTGTTGTGAGGATGTATATGGACGTGCCAAACGCCTAGTTTGGCCGTGTGTTGCTCTCTTCCTTGCGGCTTGGTTGAAGGGACGGCAGACGGAGCTTTGGACCCTCTCCGCTTGTGCTGCTTGTTCTCTTGCGGTGTGAAGCGTCAAGCTCAAGTAGTGAATCGGTTGAGCTGCTTCGCGCTGTAAGCTACCTCTATCGGTTGACTTTCTTCGCGCTGTAAGCTACTTCACGGCAGGCAGAGGCACAGCCCCCACACCCGAGCGGTCTATGCGGCAATCTCTAACGAGTCTGCGGAACGCGGTAGTGAACCGCGCTCGGCGTATCTCGAGGCTGTGGATTGACGGGTTCCTCTTGGGGTGGCACGACCTCCTTTTCGCAGGACGCATAAATCACGGACTGATGAAAACGACACACGAGATGGCCCTAGTCTATATGCATCCAATAAACTGGGCGTAGAAGCATAAAGTGGGGTTTTTTGTTGGCATTTAGTTGTCATTGGCTGTGTCTTGTTGTGTAAAGGCTAGGTTGGGAGTTCAAGTCCCAACGAGAGCGAAATTGGGATCTCGTTGCTTATGTAGTGCTACACGCTCAGGAGTGCTCGTTCACAAGAGAGTGCATAGTGGACGTTCAATTTGTTGCTTTACCCCCCTCCCATTTTCCCACTATTCCCTCCCCCTCCCCCCGTTACTCCTCCAAGGTTGTTGTAAGTAAAATGATCAAAATGGTAACACGACATCGGCCGGTACCAGCAGGGGCTGTGCAATTCAGCAGGTGAAGATTGTTTCTGTGGAGCAGGTGGATCGATTGAACAATCAAGATGGATTTCATGTCTTCCCTTTCTACCCACCATGCTTAGGTGGAGGAAGACACTGGTGGCGAAAAACATGAAGGGGGCGGGAAATCGAGCGGACCTGTGCATATAGTCCATGCGAAGCAGTGCATGCCGTAAACTCTTCCGACTAGACTATGCTGCACTCGGATTACCTAAGTCCTGTCTTCGGTTAGATCGCTACAAAAGCAACACACGTGTGGAATGTCTTTCGAACACCCCATCGCATCATGTGCCCCTGCGCCGGTTGTGCACATTGTAAAGAGGTTCACACGGTTTGGCTTCATACTAATGTGAACCAAATGACGAAATCGAACTTTTCTCTCACCTGGTGAATATGCGTGCGGCGATGATGATGTGTGATTTGTATCATCGTTCGCCGCCGCGTCGCAGCCTCTGTGAATTATTCCGGTTTGCTTCCGAGGGAAAGCGATGTAGGATTGTTTTTTGGTTACATCGTATGATGGGCGGAGGGTGAAGAGTAACCTTTACCAGGATTGCAGGTAGGGGAATGCATCGCGATCGAGCATTGCGATCGAGCAGCGAGCATGAGAGCATGAGCATGAGCATGAGAAAGCGTGAGCATGAGCATGAGCATCGAAGAACCGGTTCCAAGTTCCCCCTCGGCATATCTCGCCGATGGCTGCCCCGCATTTTTTGTGCCTGAGCTCTGAGCTCTGAGCTCGCGAGCTCGCTGCTGTAGACTTACAGCAGCAGCTACAGCAGACCCCGCATAATGGACAGCCAGTAAAACTGAGAAAGGAGGGCCCGCGCCTCGCAGTTAGCCAGGAGCCAGACAGCGAGCAATCTTGGTTGGAGTCAGGGGGCAAGCCGCCACAGCAGAGTCTCTGTTGTACTCTCAACAAGGCCCTCCAGCAAAACAACGGAAACGACCCTCAGGTGATTGAGCGAATGCTACCATCGCACTTGGATACACGACAGGCAAGATATCAGTTGAGATGCAACCCTGCCATTCGTGTACATCAGTATGGGCACACGGCCCACTGCATCTAAAATCTGTCTTCCTGCCTTTGCTGCACTACAAGTACATAGCAGTAGCCTCTACTACGCCAGCGTCGTACTGTACTATGCAGGCGTCCAAGTCAGGCAGCATTTCGAGTCACATGCCGATGCGATGCATGGACATGAGATAACCCTCACCCAAACACAACCTCCACCGATTGATGCGAGGTCAGTGTACCGTGGACATACACTGGAGACATGTAGGGTATGCTGCTGTAGTGCGTGTGACAATTCCGAGATGGGACCCATTTGCCCTTGACTACGACAGCATGTACACCCACGTATACGCACTACAGGATGCGACAGCATGAGATCTCCTTCGCCGGCTACCACGTTTTTATGCTTGGCGGTAGGGATTCCGGACAGCCGTGGAGCTTCGTCTAGTCAGACCCTGCTTTTGCATGATCGAAATACTCTTTGGGGTGCGTGTACATAGTGTATGACGAATACGGGTGTGAGTGCTACCGCAGCAGGTGTGAGTTGCGATCTGGGAGTAAGGGAGGGCGCGGCTTGCTGTTGCAGCAGGGCAAGTTCTGCTGGTGTTCGGGGCCAATGTACAGCTTCTTGGTTTGATGTGTGCGCTAGCTGTCGCAGTCGCGTGTCTTGTGTTGAACAACCGTAGCTCTGTCTGTTACTGCCGTCTTTCCTTGCGAATCAGCGTGTAGGGCTGCCGGAGGAAGTGGCGATGAGAAATTGCATATTCACTCAAGCCACTGACAAGGACACGTCAGACTTGGTTCGTTATCTTGAGCACCTGATGAACGCCAGCTCTAGCGTCAGCCCTCGCAGCAGAGTGACCTTTTGGACAATACTTTGGGCCATTAGAATTTGATGTTAATACTACAGAGTTCAACAGAGAGTGGTTTCTCGCCCCTCATCCCCGGCCCAGGTCTTCAACTTCATAGTATGGACCCTTCCCTGGATCCCAGCGCTCGGTGTTGCGATCAGCAACAGCAGCATCCCGCAGTAGCAGCAGCACCGCGAGAGGCGAGCGAGGAGACAGGTGGTATTCTCCTGTACTACAAGTACATCCCCCTCGGCGAAGAGGGGAGGGCCGTCGTGAAGGATTGGTACGTTGAGCACTGCGGGGTCGAGCGGCTTCGAGGCAGGTGAGGCTAGGAGAGGATGGGGAGGGGGAAACCTTAAGAGGGACGGGAGAGCAGCGTCATGTAAAACTATACAACAATGACAGCAACGAGAGCAAGAGGAATTCCATCGCCACCACCTTCACAGCCATTCATCCCCGGCAACGACCATCGAAACACTGACCACCACCCCGTTAACCTGTTCCTAAATTCCACGGACGAGGGAAGGGTGCGAGTAGCCCTAGACGGCGTGAACTGCACCTTGGGAGGAAGCCTAGCGGCTCTGCGCAGGCACATCGGCAGCGTCGAGGCACACGTGGCCCTGCGAGGGCACGATATCGACTTCAAGCTCGCCTCCTCACGAGGGGCGAGAAACTCCCAGGTGCGAAGCTGGTTTGTCCACTGATTTTGGCGCTTTGAATGGTGTGGACGCATGCGCCGGGCGCGATTGCAAGCCTCCCGGAGAGACTCAATCCTGGTCGTTTTTCTGGGGGCGTCAGCTGGTGCAAGGATTGTGTCGTGGGAACCGCTTGAGTCGGTGTTTGCGTGCTGCGGCCGCAGCAGCAGCTTGATCACGAAACGGTGACGTTCCTGCCACCGCCACCGGATCGTCGCCCGTGGTTGTGGCGTTGCCTCCCAGTCCCGGCTGCCCCCCGTTTCTCGCTTGTTTTGTGGCCCAATCTTCGTCCAAAGCTGTTCTTCTGGTTAGTGCGGATGAGTTGCGACTGATCGGACCTGTCTACACACTGCTTGTATAGAGTCGGTGTGGTGATTGGATAGTCTGTCCTCTCGTTCCGCATGAGCACCATGCTGTCTTCCCCCCCCGCCCCACCTAGCTCAATCTCGTGAAGTTTCAGCTGGAGGCCTCGTTCTTGTCGACGCTTCCGTCGGGGATGCCGCGGCTCGGGGGGCGTGCTTCAGTTGTACTTTACCCTATCTTGTTTTCCTTCTTGACTTTGACTGCGGATGCTACTGCTGCATCTGTTTCCCGGGCTGTTTCGTGGCCGATCCCCGCGTTTACTTACCGCAGGCAGCCCAGGAGTCCGGCTTCACGACGCTATCCGTGAAGGCGGTCAAGGAGGTGGTCACTCTCGGTACTCGGGTGAGTTGTTTCGATATTAGCCTTTCAGGGCCTTCGCAACCGGAGCGTTTTTGTCGCCAAGGTTCCACCTCACGTCAAGTGTCGAGCGGTCGAGCGCTTGCCTGCGGCAACTATTGCCCACGAAGCTAGTCACGTGTTCAGTTTCCGTCTGCATACCCACCCACTTTTTTTGTTGCCTGCTGCAACAGTTTCCCGCAGCGATCATGTATTCAGTTCTCACCTGCATACCACTTTTTACATAACGGTTTCACACATAGTCTACACACGTACCCTGCGCTTCCAGGGAGCGGGCCTGTCCCACCTCGAGGGCGGAAGACACGTGTCCCCGCAGGAGTTCCACCGCTTGCTGCAGGAGGGGGCCGCTCGGAATCGGCAGGCCCACAAAGTCGTTTGCGACGAGGGAGGAGGAAGAACGTCTTCCGGGAAGGAATCCGTCGCCGCTACCGCCGGCGGTGTTGTTGGTTTGTCGTCGCTAGATGCACCTACGCCGGCGGATGATCGGGGCGGTGATCTGGCGGAGGCAACGCCAACACGGCGAAGCGGTCACGGGACTGTTGTGGCGAGGGCGATGAACGAAGGAGCTTCGACGGTCTCGGAGGGTTGCGCAGGGGCGCCGGCGCCGGCGGCAGCGCCGGCGATAGTAGGAAAAAGTTTACAGGGCGGCGAAGGGGACAAGGGAGACAAAGACGTGCCGCCGGGGTGCAGCGAGAGTGCTGGGGCTAACGCTGAGGATGCGACGGTTGCGGAGGAAAAGGAGGCAGTGCTGCTTGACGTGCGAAACGTGTACGAGACCAGCATCGGGCGTTTCAGGTGCGTGCAAGCCTCTTGGTTGCTGTTTCGTTCCATCTGTTTGAAGTGTGTGATGAGCGTGCCGGCAACCGATGGAAGTACCTTCGAACCCCTCGTAGAAACTCTTGGTAGCGTGTACAGCAGTGCGCGGAACACATGCAGCTTCTCTGCCGGGAATACGAGGAAGATTGCAATCCTCGCTGTCAGAACCGAGCCACTGCTGTTTCAATGGAAACAGGAAACGAACGCACTCAACTCAGTTTTGTTGAGAATGGCTTTGCCCCCTCCTCTAGCTCATCCAAGCCCCCCCCCCGGACGCTCCCCATGATTTTCTTGTTCTTGCTCTCGTCGCCTATTGGCGTGCCAACATCGAATCTCTATTTTGCAGTGTGGAAGGGGTCGAGACACTAGACCCCAAGACCCGTCAATTCAGCGACCTGCCCAAGTGGGTGGACGAGAACGCGGACCGTCTAAGGCAAGGCAGGGGTGGAAAGGGGGGATGGGGGGGGGAGGCGTACTCTTATGTTTCGTATGCCTTGGCGGTCAGACCGTAGACCCCGCGTCCTCGAGAAGACGGAGCATTGTTCCCACACGACCGATCACCGATGGCCAATCGTTCCTTCCTACTTTGCCAAAAGGGGATTCCTTCCCCAGTCTGTCTATCCTATCGATATCACTTCCCGCCTTTTCAACCCACGGTAGAAGGGGGGGGGAGGAGGGAGATTTTTTTTTCCCGGGAATGTGGCGCGGGGCGCCGGGTTCCCTCACAGTAGTGTTCATATTTTAAGTCAGAAACAGCAAGGGCAGGTTAAGACCGGGATGTTGTCTTTCCTTCGTCTTGAACCGTGGTCGCGTTTCGTAGTTTTTTTTTTCTTGGAAGGTCGAGGGGAACGTCCAAATCCCCTCGGGAGACCTCCTACCGTGTTTGCTATTCGAATGGTTTTGATCCCCGGGCGCCGCTGTTGAGAATCCAATCATTCCCAACGCACCCATATTTTGGTGGTTAATCTGTGCCCACGGAAGGCATCCATGGTAGTTGAACCAGAACGGGTGTTTGAAGGCACTGGAAGGCACTGGACAGACACATGATTGGTTCATTAGTGAAGACAGCAACAGAACAGCAACAATAATGTGCTTGGCACGCTCGTCAGTGCCGACACCACCGACTTGTTTGAAAAGCACCCTTGTTTCTTCATGCGAGGTTTTACCTGATGGTTTTCTGTAAATGTTCACTTTGCTCGTCAGTAGACACAAACGCAGAGATTTGGGAGGTTGCCTCGGTGAAACTATCTAGAATACTCTCTCCACGCACTGAAGAAACCAAATCAAGATCTACGCTTGTCGTCCCATGTCAATAACCGCATAGAGCGCCTTGTATGTGTGGATGAGTTTCTACCGGGGGTGGAGGCGGTTCTTATTCCCATACGGGATGCGTATTCAATGCCCAATTAGGAAGCGAGTACGCCGCCCCCTCGTCCGACCACACCTACCACCGCCGCCACCTCCTGCAATAATCCCCAAACCTCATCAGGGGGAAGCGGGTGCTCATGTACTGCACGGGAGGAGTTCGATGCGAGCTGGCGTCTGCGCTTGTCCGGCGGCACTGCGACGCCGACGCCACCGGCACGGACGTCTTGCAGCTCTCGGGCGGTATCGAACGCTACCTTCAAGCGTACCCTCACGGCGCGGAAGATCCGGGACGTGCTGGGGAAGCACAAGCAGCAGCGGCAGCAGCAGCAACACCAGCAAAAGCAGGAGCAGCAGCAGCAGCGGCAGCAACACCAGCAGAAGCAGAAGCAGAAGCAGCAGCAGCAGCAGCAGCAGCAGCAGCAGGGGCTGTGAGAGAAGAGGAGCGCGGGGGCGTCGCCGGTGGGGGGTTCCAGAGCGCGGGAGGGGGGGGGGAGCAGTCGCCGGAGGGGTTCTTCCGTGGCAAGAACTTCGTCTTCGACGAGAGGTGCGCCCTTCCTCAGACACCGACAAAAGCTTTGCTGTGTGGAACTTGGGCCGGCGTGGCTTGTGTCGCTGACGGCCCTTCCTCCGCAGACTTTTGTCGTTCTTTTGCGCTGAGGGTCTGTTTTGAGAGTATCATTGGACATTTCGTGAGAGCTCGGTGCTTGTTGGACGCAACTAGAAGGTAAATCCCACAGTTGACAACAACAACAACAACAAGGCGATCATATCGTAGAAAAACGAAGTTCTCCCGGTGGTACACACGTCAGTTTCATTTTTCACTGAACAATCACCTGGATAATGACCTCTGACAAACAAACAAACTCAATGCCCCACACTTACGAATAGCTCCTGCAAAACCGTCTCAACATCTCGGTAGTGTGCCGCCTACATGCATCGCGTGTCGGCTGTGGTCCCGGCGTGTCTTCTTGTTCACCCAGAATGGGCCTCCACTCTCTGCTTCGAGCATTGTGTCGCCAGCCGCACTGCTTCCGTCGTCACATGAAGATTAAGATTCGATTTGTGCGTTATTTTTGTTTTGCGCTTGTTTGTGGCCTCACTTGCTCGCTTTCTTTTTGTTCCCCAATTTGCAAATCGGGGTTCAGTCGGCGCTACGTATCCCGAAAATAGCAATACAGAAGTATTGTTCGAAATTTCCATACAACTTGGATCAAAACAAATATGTCCGAATTTCCATACACTTGGATCGAATCAAGTATGTCCGAAATTTCCATACCCGGATCGAATCAAATATGTCCGCAACTTCCATACTTGGATCAAATCGAATCGATTTCCATACTTAGATGAAGTCAATATGCTATCGATTTCCGCGCTCGATTTCGGTCAGCTCGCGTAACCCACGCGCACGAAATCGCGGTGGTGAGCAAGATACAGCCCCATAGGCATTCTCCCCAAGTCTCGCGAACGGTGGTGGCGAGCAAAGCGAGCACGGCTACAAAGAGCGTCGGGCCAAACCCTACCTGTGCTGCTCCCTTTGTGCGAGGGTTATTCGCCGATAGACAAGCTGTGCCTTGCTCGTATGTGTCGCGGCAAAAGCTCGAAGTTCTCGCGACGGGTCTTTGGCGACGTACCTACGTTCGTTCCCTACTGCTGTGCCTGCTGCCGTTGTTTGTTGTAGCGTCGGTTTTTGCCTCTGTCTAAAAGGCCCAACAATAATACGATCGCATCTATCTCATCATACACCAGCTCCAGAACAAGTCAGCTGTTGACTGCCCTACAAGTTCTTGTGCATCCCTGCTGTACCACTCCATCGCTGCTGCACAGCAGTCATGGCGTCTTGGGGTGTGCTCGAGGCTATTTTCATCCTTGAATCGACGCTGCATAACCCGGCTGAAATTTCTAGAAGCTATCCTTATCTGTGCGGGCTATACGGGCCGGCCCGTGGGAAGCAGGAGGCAGCATTGGTATGATCCGCAACGATTGGTTGGATTGAACACACATGCAAACCGCGTCTATCTGCGGCGGACAAAGAAAAAAAAATGAGGGAGGCACCGAGGGCTGAAGTAAAGGGCGCGGGCAGTTCCTTTTTTACGTCGTGTTCTTTCAAAAAGTCTCGTCATCAACATGCATGCGCGCGTGAAAAACAAATTACCCATCCATATGTATGCGGCGGAACATCCATCCTGGTACTGCTGCTGCTGCGGTGCTACTGCTGCTGTGGTGACATGTAAAACAACCGCCACGTTTGTATCACTCCTATACAGCACACCACGAGGTTTCAGAGATGTAACAAACCATCTGATTTCGTCTGGGCTTTCACTCCTTGGCTATGTCTGCATGCCCGTTCTAACGCGACACCTAGCACAACTGCTGCGTCGACCTTGCCCCTTCCCCCTACAATATCTCTAAGAAGACAGTCAAGAAGGTTTTTTGGCAAGAACGACAAGGAAAGGACCCGCAATTTTTTAGTGCTCGTGAATACGAATCATGGACGTCTCCCGTTCTGTCTGCTTCCGGAGGTGGTTCGTGCTCGCCAGCAATCTTTGCTGGACGCTCGTGATAAAACTGTCCGGGAAGCCAGATTTCAACAAGGACAAGCGTTCAAGGCCAGGAGAGAAAGAAAGACACATGTTGGCTGACCATATACAAATACTCTTCGGGAAAGAGCGAGGGCTGAAGCAAAGGCGCAAAAAAATACAGCTTTACTAGCCACGAAGAGAGCTGCGGCCGAAGGATGGATATGGAAACAGGCAGAAGCTCGCGCAGCACGGGGGCGCGGTTACACCCCCCAGCGTCAACCCCGTACAGATCAAATTTTCGGAGCGCGAACTAACGGACTATGTCCTTCTCCTGAAACTCCTTGCCGCTGCCTCGTGGCGTTGTACTTCGTACTACTGTACCTGGAAATAGTGAGTAGTAGTGTGCATACCTTTACCACCATGCTATGTTCCGTACGCCATCTTTACCGACACACAACAACAAAAAAATCAGTTCGAGTGGGGGAAGCAGTCGTGGGCCTCCACGGCAACCTATGATAGTGTCTATCGCGTGCCCTCCCCTCCTTGTGCCCATCATGCATGATTCCGGTGCGTGCAGGGTATCGGTGCCAGAAACCCCGGCGGGCGGGGTGGTAATGGGGCGCTGCGTGCTGTGCGAGCGGCCTTGGGACGACTACGGTAGCCGCTGCAGATGCACAAGGAAGGTTCTGTGTTTGCGTGTGCCGTGTGTCTTCCATCATTTTGATCAACCGCGCTGACCGGCTAACCAATGAAATTACGTCAGTCCCGGGGGAGTACGAACGGGCAACCCTCTTAATACGGTGATGATCCGGGGTCCCATAGCAGGGGGGGGGGGGGCTAGGCTATGCGAGCGTTTCTTTATGTTACATCGGCCGTGCTAGCAGGCTGACGGATGAAAACACGTCGGTGTTTGCGAGTAGTAGTCAAGGTCCCCGAAAGGGTGTGTGCTTTTTTTGCGTCCCATCTATTCCGGGTGCCAGCCTTCACAACTTCTGCGGTTCGGAATCAGCGGAAACGGTACCTCTAGGATTTTTTATTTTCTCTTTCATAAACAAAACAAACGTAAACGTCCACAGGTAAGAGTCCGCGATAAATTGGCAATTAATAGGTGACCAATAGCTCGTATTTTGCAAGAAGACGAAAATGCGATTGGATACGGCGGAAATGTAGAGAAAACTGAGCACTCCAAACGAGTCTCTGTGGGCGGATGGCGACAACCTCATGCGTCCAAACCGCATTCCTCTGAAGCGATGTACTGTTCGACGGAACGTCACCCCCGCCGACGGCCAGGGCATTGCGGCATATCGGTATGCCAGGTGGCGGAAGATAAGGACGTGAAAACTTTCATTTTTTTGTTTGTGTTGCGACTTCGCCCAACAACAACAAGCTGCTGCTGCTGTTGTTGCACGCGGTTGTGTGGTGCCGGCAGGTGTCGCATGCTTCTCCTCGTGTGCGACTCTTGCGTCTCGTCCGCGCTTGGCGTAGAGGGGGGGAGGGTTTGGGGACCGGAAGGAGCAGGGTTATCGACGCCGACACCGGTGGCGCCGTTGCAGGAACCGCGCGGAGACGACAGCGCAGGCGGCGGCAGTGACCGTTCCGCTTCTGAACTGGGGTCGCTCCTGCCATCACCACCACCACCAACACCAACAACAACAACAACTCCAGCAATTCCAAGACTCAGGGAGTCTACGGCGACACCTGCGGCGGGCACCAGAGCAGTGGTGCCTCCAGCAGCGGAGGGAAGGAAAGAGAGTCGGGATCAACGGGGAACGCCAGCGGGAGCAACTGAGGCCGTCGGCGACGCGGAACTCCGTACGGGGCGAGGAGCAACGACTAAAGCGGCGGCGGTACCTGGATTGCTGTGCTCGGCGTGCCATCTCAAAGAGTCGTTAGGGCAGCAATCTTCACCATAGGAGTGATTTTGTTCGAGTCCAGTAGTAGTCAAACGCAGTATGATTGGAGAATCGTACAACCATGCTTGGGGATTGTCCCCGAAAACCCACACGTGTGCAACTCCAGTTTTTACGTGCTACAACCATCACACAGGGAAGGAATCTCTATAGTATCCCTTGTCGCCTTTTATAAATTGAAGAAAAGCACCGCAGGAAGAAAAGTGGATAGTTCTTCCTGTGTGGCCCCGGCTGGTCCTCAAGCAGTCACACCGAACGGTAGGTGCAGACCGGCACCCTGGACTAGAAGGGGCGAGAAAAAAACCGTCCAAGCATCCGTCGATCCCGGTGCTGCTGCTGCTGCTGCTGTTGAACGCGAAGCTCGTGATGGTGTGGATAAATACCCACAGCCACCCCTCTTCTAGATTACAACAATGCAGAAATATGTAACTCACGTCTTATCCAAGCGGCTTGGCCAACATGGTCGTTAGCCATGGAGCAGCGTTGTGAATACCACGCTAATCTCGAGTAAACTACCTACTTCACGGAGTGCTCCACATAGTCGGCACAGAAGGCAGCACCGCTTGGTACTCCCTGCGTCGCCAGTGTTGAAATCGAAACTTGGAAAGACAGGTCTTGTAACCACTACAGGTCAACCACCTGGGCTGGTTGCTCTAACCGAGTCCCTCTAGTCCAAAACACCACCCCCACAATCGCTACGTCTCGGCATTGTATGCATGGGGGATGCGAGGTCTATGGTCTACCAACTACAAGCGACCGCCTCACCTAAGCGAGACTCCTGAAAGCCGCCCCGATTTTCTCTTGTCTATGTACGCGACGCAAAACAAAAACGAACACCGTGGCCACGCTCACAAACGATGCGGTCTTACGTACAGGCTCTCCCTGCCGCCGCTAGCCGGCGTGCCGCTGTAAAACCACGCCACAACCTCTCCCATAGAACTGTTGTCAAAGTGCCCTGCCTCGCTTGTAGATTTTACTCGTCAGCGCCGCTTCACATACTATTTCCCGACCCGCAGTGGCATGCATCGACGCTGCCACTCTGTTCCTCTATCGCTGTCCAGTGTCTCTTGCAGCAATATCGCTGGCGTGGAAAGTACATCGGAATATGCATGCACGTCGGCTCTGGCCCTGCTTCCTTGTCTTTCTAGAATTTATTCGTCAAATTGTTGCATTATTTACTAGCCGGCCCGTACCGGTATCGGCGTTGCCACTCTCTCTCTCTTGGGAATGTCAAGTGCGATGCTTCCCGTGCACTTTCCCCCCGAGATTATAGCAGTGACACCGGTTCCAAACTTATTACTTGCCGGCCCGTAGTGGCATCGGCGCCGCCACCCTCCCGGTGACTCCGGAGGTTTTAAGCACGCTCGCGGCATCATGCTCGGCGGAGACCGCAGCCGCCGACGTCACCGCCATGCGGCGGCGGCGGCGGTGGCGGCGGCGGCGGCGGCGTTCCGCCCGTCGGCGTAGCATGCCGACGACGCCCCGCGCCTTGCTGCCCTTGACGGTGCTGCTGCGCCCACCGTCAGGCGAACCGTCGTGGTTCTCGACGACTTCTCCCGTGTTCACCACATCCCCGCTGGCAAGGAGGAGGCCGCCGTCCAAAAGGCCGCTGTTCTTACCACCGCCGCCGGAGACAGAGACGGCGGCACCGCCGGCGGAGGAAGACTTGCCCGCAAGGAGGGAAGGGTCGAGCATCGTCTGGAACCTGGGCTTGCCGAGGACGAGGGCCAAGTACGTGAGGGCCCAGCAGGACCCGAGGATCTTGCTCAGGCCTATGGTGGCGCCCTCGACCGTGCTCCTGCACGAAAGGGGAGGGGGGGGGGAGGGGGGAGCGTACTCTCATGTTTCGCATGCCTTAGCGGTTGGACCATTGACCTCGCGTCCTTGAGAGAGGACGGAGCATTGTTGCCTCAGGACCCATCACCGATGGCCAATCGTTCCTTCCTACTTTGCCAATGGTGGCTCAATGAACGTTTTCCCTAGCCTATCTAGAAGGGGGGTGGGGGCGGATAAGCGTTGCGAACGGGCGAGGGCTTTGGTAAAAAAAACGAGAGCCTTTGGAACATGGACACCAAATTGCGTCAGGCATGCAGCAGACGGCATACTTTTGGTCCCGCCTTTGGACGGAAATGAGCTCCTGGCTTAAACTACACCCTGAAAAGAAAAACGTACGAAAACATCATTCCACGCTCGAGTTGGGAGGAGTATTCCAATACGACTATTGCAGCAACTCAATATCAGGATGAGGGCGGTCAAGTATCTCAATCTCCCCCAGCATGCTTCTAGAACATGCACCCAACGACTTCACCTTCAAGTAAACCAAGCCCTCGCTCCTTAAGTATATCACCCAGGCATGAGTCGTGACTACGGACGGAAGACAAAAAGGGTGTGGAGATAGTTCTCCGGTCAACAACTCACTCTCCGAAAGCCACCCGTTCCAGCATCTGCTCTCCAGTCCTGATGCAAGGTGCCCTGTTGCATCCAAGAAAACGGTGCGGGAACAGAGGCGTGACGTCGTGCAGGCAGGAGGGGGGGAGCTCAGAACCCGCTGTCAAACACTTGGAGTTTGCATCTCATCTATTGCGCCGCCAACACATAGTCCTGTTGTGCATGTTCGGAGTATCCATCTCGGGGTCGCTATGTGTTCGGATGCAAATGCAATATGTTGAGACCTGCATACACTCGGGCGTTCTCTACAAAAAAAGTCCAGACGAAAACACAATAATGAAGTCTTACTAACCTCTAATTCCAAGAACTTATCGTTTCCAATTTGGGCGTTGTGATAGCGATAGAGATAGCGCTTGCTACAGCCCTGAAAAGGTCAACCCCTGTCTCGAACTCACTCCAAAACCTTGACAGATATTGCACGCACCACATACCAAAATATCCAAAAGGGCCATGCACTTCCCCCCGATTGCTGCAGCAGGACTTGCTACAAAACGGATGCAACAGGGCATGTATGGTCACTGCAGCTACAGCGACCTGAAAAATCCCGCACCCCGGCATCCGTGCATTGCGCCGAAAAGCCGTACAAACCTCGATTTGTTGTCGCACTCGAACTCCAAGCCTTTCAGCTCGTTGACGCACAGGGCTTCGAAGGCTTGCTTGATCATGGACGCGTCTTTCAGCCACCAAAGGCATTGGGGGACGTTATCCTGCACAAAGGTGTTGCCGTCTGTTGTCATTGCTAATGATGGTGGGTCTCGCCGACATCGTCTGTTGTCACTCCTAATGATGGTGGGTCTCACTGACAAGCGCCCGAGCGTTCCTCGGGTGTTGCAATCGTGTTTGTTGCAGCAGTGCGGACGGAAAACCACAAGTAACCAGCGCCAAAATCGCCGCACACAAAATGCCTTGCAAACCGAAAACACCGACAAGCTTGAGTACACAATTGCAGGACAACGACAAGTAGGGGGGGGCATTGCGACGATCGAGCTTCTACACAGATGCCGTGGCAGCCGGCTAAAAAACACACGATATTGTTCCTCCATCGGGAACAGGGCAGAGGGGGGAGGAGGGTTGTTGTTGTTGTCTTCATATTAAAAACCGTTCCGTTCTCTCTGCCCAGTACCTTCTTCTGTTCGTACTATCTAATACACACGATATTGTTCCTCCATCGGGAGCAGGGCAGAGGGGAGAGGGGGGTACGTTCAGGGATATACACGACCTGACACGAGAGCACGGCAGTGGCTGTGCAGCAGCCTGACGAGTTCCAGCAAAAGTCGCCCAGGCAAGAGGGCCCACAACAGGGGTGTGTACTCATAGCCGTGCACGGCGTAGTCGCTAGACCATTGACCTCGCATCCCTACAATGCCGGGACGCAGCGATATGCCGAGTTCTCGCCTACAGGCTAATGGCCGACAACAGGGGGGGGGGGGGGGGGGGGGGGGGGATCCTTTTTTTTTTGGGGGCTTTAGGGGGAAAACATTTACCCCCCCCCCCCCAAAGGGGGGGGGGGGGGGGGGGAAAAAAACCCAAAATTTTTTTTTTTTCCAAAACGGGGGCCCCCCCGGGGGAAGAAAAACCCCCGCCCCCCCCCCCAAAAAAAAGGTTTCGCAAAAACCCGGCCCCACCCACCCCAGGGGGAAAAAAAGGGGGGGGAAAAACAACGGGGGCCCGGGGGGGGCCCCCAAAAAAAAAACCGGGAAAAGGGGGGAAAAAAAACCCCGGCCTAAAAGGGGAAAGGGGGCCCCCCCGGGGGAAAAAAGGGCTTTTTTTTTTTTTTTGGCGAGGGGGAGAAAGGGGGGAAAAAAAGGGGGAAAAAAAAACCCCCCCCCAGGGGAAAAAATGGGGGGGGCTTAAAACCCCCGG